AACCACAGTTGAGATTATTTAAAATACCGAACTAAAGGCCTGTGTTAAATGGACCCCGACAATGCTCTTCACGACCAGCCCACCACCAGCAGAGGAACCCGCCAAGGTTCCCGCTCTTATCACGTCACAGGATGGGGTGGATGTTAGCTCCCCCCCCCCCCTCTCCCCCATATTTGAACAGAAAGTCACAGTGGCAATCAGGAAGGGAAAGAGGCAAGTTGCGGGAGTCGACGACATCCCCTCGGCCGTGGTCTGAACTCTTGGAAGTGAGGCTACCGGTCATATTGCCCACCTTTTCAATGCATGTCTTTCTCTGGGATGCGATGGCCCGACTTATTCAGACTTGGGATCTGGCTAAGCGCAGAGGCCAACACTGCGTTATGGTGGCATTTGGCGTCGGGAACGCCTTCAATACGGTGCTCTGGGGCAACATCGCCAGGGCCCTTATTAGAAAGGGTATTTCCCCACGCCTCCTGACCATCATTGCTGCTCCCTAGGGAGTGCTGTCTTATCAGCTTTGCCGACGACGTAGCGCTGATGATCAGCGTCCGCTCTGCGAATCGGGCGATGGTCGTCCTTTCCGAAACTATGTCTTATTTGTAGAAGTGTTTTGCTAGGAACGGCTTATCATTAGCTGAAAAGAAAACCGAAATCCTAAATTTAATGAGCTGGAAGGCGCCGGTTGAGCTACGGGCGTCGATGGATGCGGTAGATCCGAACTGTGTGTCCTGTATCTACTACCTCGGGTTAGTGCTCGAGGAAAGCCGGTTTTTCGGAGCGCATGTCCGGTAGTGCTGTAAAAGGACAGTCAAGTACGCGAACTTATTGGCCAGAATCCTTCTCAATATTGGGAGCGGTGGTTATTGGACTCATAGTGGTCGAGTCGCTAATTCTTTATGCCGTCCCAACCTGGGCGCACGCAGTGGCAAGGATTGGAAACGACAAGCTCATCAACGCGATCCAGAAGACAATTCTGGCGTACCGCACCACATCCCTCAATGCTATTTGCGTTCTGGCTGGCATGCCCTCCTGATTCTGATGTCCGACGAGATAAGTAGAGTCTTTTATTGAGTTTCAGCTCAGGACTACCTCCGAGCACGCCCTCGTGTGGTGCGAGACTTTCGCTTTTGAGAGGACCGCACTCGAGTTGATCACTGGCCCTCTTCAGTTGGACAACATCATCTTCCTCCTAAAGAATAAAACCACCAGGGAACCTCTCAAGGGTTACATCAGGACTGTGCACTCGCATAAGGAGGTACTCAATAATGGTGACCAGCGACGTATCGCAGAGCGCCAGCGTTTAGCAACAAGAGAAAGTTAGGCTTACCGTAGCCTTGGTTAAGCAGTCTAGTGCAGTTCTCCCTTCGCGTAGGAATCACGAGAGGGGACACCGCGGAGGGCCTGCGAGGCTGAATGCCGGAAGAGGGATTTAGTGAATATACCTGACTTGCACCCTCTATCCAGGGAGTCCCACACACAAACATGTGATTGGATGGAGAAGCAACCGATCCCTCAGTAGAAGTGGATTTCGGGAGATCATAGAAAAGTGGTGACTACGGGTGTGTAGGTGAGACAGAGCAAGCGAAATACGCCCAGCCCCTCTGCTGAAATGCCTGACTTTTTCTGAGCACCGGATAGTACTTATTATTTAAAATCTAAAAAATTACTAAATATTCTTCAGACATTCTAAAATAAGGATGAACAGCGTTTTCATTAAAATTATTACTCACGTAGTAAGAAAAGAGACGAGGGCGAACTTCCTGACACACTAAGGGTTGCTGGTCGATGTGCGAGGTGGTCGTCTGGTCGACTCTTTCACTTCGTTGGCGTCGTACGGGTTGCAGCGAAGTGTCACGATCTACGATGTCTCGTCCATTAGCGGGATCGACATTCCTGAAGGAACACACTCAGAGAATTCTCAGACCTTGACTCGCCGTCAGCATCTATGATACTCATCGAACGCCCTCGCGGTCTTTCTGACGACAGACTGGAGTTTGAGCTGCTGCTGGATCGAGGAGTCATAAAGCCCTCAGCCAGTCAATGGGTCAGCCCGCTGCACATGGTGAAGAAGAACAGTGAGCAGCAAATCCCTCACGCACATCGAAGACATCGTGAAAGGTTGCGAAGGCTGTACCATCTTCTTGACCTTGAATCTGTAGCAGGCCTATTACCAAATTCCTGTGGACCGCCTTCTTAACATCATTCGGTCTCTTCGAATTTCTGGGAATACCCATGGAACTGATTATGTCGAAATGCCACGTGCAGCATATGTGGCAGCTTTTCGCCATCCTGAGAAAGGCGCACCTATCCATAAGCATGACGAAGTGCCAATTCGGCAAACGGGAAATTAACTATCTCGGCTTCCCGGTGTCCGGTGAGGGCTATCGACCGCCACCACATAAGGTGGACGCAATACAGACACAGCTACAGGTCCCGCTCAACGACTTGTTGGGAGACCTACCAAGGCTGAAGAACGTGGAGTTGGCTTGGACGTCAGACGCGAAGGGCCAGACGCGAACGCCTACACTCTCCGCCGTGAGAGACATGCCAAGAATAGCCTCCTCAACCTCTCTGTGCCACTGGTGCCTCCAGCACAATCGTCCGTGCCGTATTGGAGCAGCGTGAGGGCAAGATTTGGAAGCCCCTGGGTTTCTTCTCGAGGAAGCTTACTAATATGGAGGAAAGATATAGCACATACGATCACGAGCTCCCGGCAGTCTTCACGGCCATTCTTCAGGAGGATCCTAGAGGGACGCCCTTTCACTATTAAGACGAACCACCAGCCTATGGACCTATGCGGCGGCTCAACACTCGGACAAAGCTGTTCCGTTCTCGTAGAACGTTTCATGCCAGTACAACTATCCGCATTTCTCAACCCATAAAACAAGCAATCAGACACTCCACAGCCTGTCTCTTATACACATCTAGATGTGTATAAGAGACAGCCATAAAACAAGCAATCAGACACTCCACAGCCTGTCTCTTATACACATCTAGATGTGTATAAGAGACAGCCATAAAACAAGCAATCAGACACTCCACAGCCTGTCTCTTATACACATCTAGATGTGTATAAGAGACAGCCATAAAACAAGCAATCAGACACTCCACAGCCTGTCTCTTATACACATCTAGATGTGTATAAGAGACAGCCATAAAACAAGCAATCAGACACTCCACAGCCTGTCTCTTATACACATCTAGATGTGTATAAGAGACAGCCATAAAACAAGCAATCAGACACTCCACAGCCTGTCTCTTATACACATCTAGATGTGTATAAGAGACAGCCATAAAACAAGCAATCAGACACTCCACAGCCTGTCTCTTATACACATCTAGATGTGTATAAGAGACAGCCATAAAACAAGCAATCAGACACTCCACAGCCTGTCTCTTATACACATCTAGATGTGTATAAGAGACAGCCATAAAACAAGCAATCAGACACTCCACAGCCTGTCTCTTATACACATCTAGATGTGTATAAGAGACAGCCATAAAACAAGCAATCAGACACTCCACAGCCTGTCTCTTATACACATCTAGATGTGTATAAGAGACAGCCATAAAACAAGCAATCAGACACTCCACAGCCTGTCTCTTATACACATCTAGATGTGTATAAGAGACAGCCATAAAACAAGCAATCAGACACTCCACAGCCTGTCTCTTATACACATCTAGATGTGTATAAGAGACAGCCATAAAACAAGCAATCAGACACTCCACAGCCTGTCTCTTATACACATCTAGATGTGTATAAGAGACAGCCATAAAACAAGCAATCAGACACTCCACAGCCTGTCTCTTATACACATCTAGATGTGTATAAGAGACAGCCATAAAACAAGCAATCAGACACTCCACAGCCTGTCTCTTATACACATCTAGATGTGTATAAGAGACAGCCATAAAACAAGCAATCAGACACTCCACAGCCTGTCTCTTATACACATCTAGATGTGTATAAGAGACAGCCATAAAACAAGCAATCAGACACTCCACAGCCTGTCTCTTATACACATCTAGATGTGTATAAGAGACAGCCATAAAACAAGCAATCAGACACTCCACAGCCTGTCTCTTATACACATCTAGATGTGTATAAGAGACAGCCATAAAACAAGCAATCAGACACTCCACAGCCTGTCTCTTATACACATCTAGATGTGTATAAGAGACAGCCATAAAACAAGCAATCAGACACTCCACAGCCTGTCTCTTATACACATCTAGATGTGTATAAGAGACAGCCATAAAACAAGCAATCAGACACTCCACAGCCTGTCTCTTATACACATCTAGATGTGTATAAGAGACAGCCATAAAACAAGCAATCAGACACTCCACAGCCTGTCTCTTATACACATCTAGATGTGTATAAGAGACAGCCATAAAACAAGCAATCAGACACTCCACAGCCTGTCTCTTATACACATCTAGATGTGTATAAGAGACAGCCATAAAACAAGCAATCAGACACTCCACAGCCTGTCTCTTATACACATCTAGATGTGTATAAGAGACAGCCATAAAACAAGCAATCAGACACTCCACAGCCTGTCTCTTATACACATCTAGATGTGTATAAGAGACAGCCATAAAACAAGCAATCAGACACTCCACAGCCTGTCTCTTATACACATCTAGATGTGTATAAGAGACAGCCATAAAACAAGCAATCAGACACTCCACAGCCTGTCTCTTATACACATCTAGATGTGTATAAGAGACAGCCATAAAACAAGCAATCAGACACTCCACAGCCTGTCTCTTATACACATCTAGATGTGTATAAGAGACAGCCATAAAACAAGCAATCAGACACTCCACAGCCTGTCTCTTATACACATCTAGATGTGTATAAGAGACAGCCATAAAACAAGCAATCAGACACTCCACAGCCTGTCTCTTATACACATCTAGATGTGTATAAGAGACAGCCCGTAGACCGAACAACGGTCGCAGTGTCGGTGCGCGATCAACAAAAGCCTTACTTCGTTAGCAACATTAGCTGGACTTTATTTTACAGTCCTCGATCAACATAAAATACCTCAAGAGTGGCGTAAACGCAGTGGTCGATGCCCGCTCTCGCTCTTGCCCGTCATCCTTGGATTCTGCCATCATCAGGGCGGCCCGAAAGGGGGATGGGGAGCTATCGGCCCAAGCTCCACATCGAGGATAGAAAGATGTTTTGTGACATTTTCACGGAAGTTCTACGCCCTTATCTCCTAATAACCCTGAGGCATGCGGCCTTTAATGCGGACCATGACCTGTCGCATCCCAGTAGCTAAGTGACATTGCGTTACTTGACGGAAAAATTCTTCCGTTATCCCTGCCAGCGCGCCAAGATCAACAGATATAACAGAATGGTCTTGAGCAATTTTGACGCGCCTCACAACAGATTCGACCTATTTTTACGTGGAGATCGTCAAGATGCCAGTCATTGGAACATTTCAATACTGCCTAAAGGTAATAGATCATTTCTCCAGATGGTCTCTGGCTGTTCCTCTGGCAGATATGTGGGCTGAGACCATGGCCAAGAGTTACTACTCACATTGGATCTGCACCTACGGCACGCCACTTATCATCAATTTAGATCAGGAACCCGAATTCGTGTTGTTCTCCGCTCTGTCGCAGCTCCTAGTCGCTCGCTGCATTCGCACCACGCCTTACCACTCCCAATCCAACGGAATGGTAGAGTAGTTTCAACGCTCGCTCAAGACAGCACTAATCTACAATCCTAAGGTACCATGGGCAGACATGCTGCCAACCGTCCTACTCGGCCTTCACACGACTTTCAGGAAGAACTCCAGGCCTCGCTGGTGGAAATGGTTTTCGGTTCGACGCTCAGGGTATCGGAGAACTTTTTCGTGTTGAAGAGCGTCTCCTCCTCGCCCTTCGGATTCCTGGAGAAGCTTCATGTACCGATGAGGTCACTTCGAGTTCTCTTGGTGAATCCGTCCTTCGGAGCTGTTCATACGTATTCAAGCCTGTGGATACCATACGTAACCCCGTGGACGCTCCTTACACTGGTCCCCATAGGGTCGTCAGGCACCTCAACGATAAGATATTTATAATAGATGTGCATGGAATCGAGAAGAATGTGTCCACGCGGTGGGCTCAAACCGACCACCGTCAACCAGGCTCCTTATGACCCAGTTCCAGCCGACCAAGTTGCATCCAGCCGAGCTTCAGCCGAGCTTCAGCCGATTAGGTTGCACCCATCTCAGCCACTTTCATCCCGGCCGCAGCCAACTCAGATACGACCATCTCATGATAGTGGATTGCCACTACACAGAAATCCTCTGCCTCTTCGGCCTCGGCTCTGGCACCACCAACTACACCACCTCGACCTTCCTGCAGAAGTTTTGGGAGAGGGAGTGGTTATGATGTCGCAACCACCACCTCCTCAATAGAACACTAGGAGGCGTTCACTCGTTCATTCTCTCGCTACATTTTCACGCGTTGACATAAACCTACAATCTCTGTTAATCTGAGTTCGTTTCGTTAAGTGTTACAACCACGTGTTAGCTTGTTGTTACGTTCCATAATAAATTCTCGTTATTGTTTCATTGTTATCACTACATATTGTGTTGTTCACACGCATATGCACGCAACACGCATACAAAATCCAACACGCGCCTCCATACGATCACACATGCTAAAAATTTCATTGAAATCTATTGACACATAGTCAAGATACATCCACTGAAATATGTAAAAGTTCTTTCCTTTTGGTTGATATTCGTGAAAAAGTGATATCTTCGCAAACTTTAAATGTTAACACACTTTACTGTGACTGGTAGCAATTGAACGTCCTTTACTCGTTTTGCGGTGGACTCATCAGTAAGGCTATTCTAACGGGCCCTTGCCTTAGATGTTGGGATGCGGTAGGAAAGACAAAGTTTGTATATACACATCTGTATACACATTGAGGCGAATCGGTTACTTGGCAGGTCTGGAGGTAGCCACCATAATTTTATTCATCACGAAAGGTATCAGATATTTAAAAGATTGTGCAATAATATGAGAGCTTAGCTTTAGTTCAATCACTTTTATCTCAATAATAGATAACAAATTATTGGTTGCCATGACAACCGAAGCGCAGGCTACTGATCGGGTTAAAAAGCCGATTTATAAGCTATCGGTCGATAAGCGTTGGGAATAAAAAGCCGATTTATAGGCGGTAAGTATTGGACACAAAAAGCCGATTAACAGGGTACTGGTCGCTAATGTGTTAACAGCTCATGGCAACACCAACCGATTTCAATGAAATTTTCAACACGCATTCAAGGTACCAACATCAACAAAGTGTATCTTTCATACTTTCATTATAGGTTCAGAAAAAGAGGAGGAAAAACATCATATTCTAATTCTTTCATAATGCCAACCAATTGCAATTTTTGAAAACAATTTGTTAGCTAGTTGGCTAGAATGCTAATACCTCTAATATCCTACAAAAATTTAGATCGTCTGACTTAATCATAAAAAATTATTCCGTTTTAAAAGCTGTAGGAATACATTGTACACTAGTTAACTTAAAAAGTTTACATCTCGGAAAGAAGTTACACTAATTACATTTAACACTAAACCTACCAAGCAGTAATACTAACTAGCATGTACTGCTTCACAAAAGTGAGAAGACCGAATTTACTTAGAATTTGTAAAGTCTCGGAACTTTGCAGAATTGCAAAATAAGAAAGCGGTCACTTTGATCGCGGTAGGTTTAGTATTAAGTTGAAAACGCCTTGATACCCACTACAACAATATGCAATAAAAAATACAGGTTTTAATTTAAAAATTCGAAGCTGACCTTTGTAGTTTTTTCAAAGATATTGACAGCACAATCTATCCCCTATGAAACCATACAACACTTCTGGTAGAAATATTTTTTCATATCATTCATATTTTTTGAAATATTTTCCTTGTGAGATTAAAATGAGGACATGCTGTACATAACAATGTCTAATAGAACATACATTAAGTAAGAAAATGAATTTATTTTTATCCATACACCTTTCTGAATTGAAATTGGCGAGGAAGTAGTATTTCGAGAAGTTTACCTGATGGTGGATTTAGGATCTTCAGGTTTTCTCTCTTGAAATTCCTCAATTACTTGCTCGGGAATTTCAACTTTTTCATCTCCAACTGAAGACTTTTCCATCTTCGACGTGTTCATTACATTTTCATCTTCATTTATGGAAGTATTTGATGCGTTACCCGTTGCGCAACTCCGGAAATACCTTGCTTTTTTTGGATGCATCATTCTGAAAATGCAACATATAAAAAAACATTAACGATATTTCGTCACTTTTATCTAGAAAATGATGCCAAAAATAAAAGGCTCGAAAATATATTTCATGTACTAAATTAATGGTATGGATGATAAACAAAACCATAATGATGAGCAAGAGGAACAATGGAATAAAAAATATTAAAAAAATATCTTAGAATACATATTCAAGGTGTCCACCAATAAATGACGTTTGAAATAGTAATATTTTTTGTCTTTTTACGTAGAATGCGTTAAGACAAGAAAAAAATTTTTTACTCAATTTTTCAAAGTCATCTGAAGGTTATTTTAATTCTTTTAAATAGCATGTTGTCTTTTGTTTCACTACTATGAAAGACCATAAAAAACACTTCAAGTACTACTTACAAGTGATTTTAAAGTCGTAAAAAGGAATGTTTTAGTGCAACAGATAAGGATGTACTTTTCTATTTACATTGTCTACAGACTGTGCTCAAATTTTCTTTTTTCGACAGGAAAATATTGGTCTAGTCTTCTCAGAAATGGTTGCTGTTGCTGTGAAAAGATCGTTTTTGAGAAGACTACAAAATGATACTTTTTCAACTTTTTTATCTGAACGTATAATAAAAATTGAATAAAATGCAGTTTTGTAGATCTCTCGGTCAGTTGTATACATGATAAAAATTTTATTGAAATCGTTTGTCGCATAGTCAAGATACAGCCACTAAAATATGTAAAAATTCCACCTTTTGAGTTGATATTCGTAAAAATTAATATTTTTGCGAACTATAAATGTTAACAGCTCATGATAACGTCAACCGTTTTCAATGAAATTATCAGCTAGTATTCAAGTTGTGAGAAAAACAATAAACCGATGGGGTATATCGATTATTAATAACACAATGGACAATGGTCTCCGTTCCTACGTGGAGTTGTCGTAGAAATGACGCTACAGTAACTTATTTATTTTTAACTTATTTATTTTTTTATTTGCGAAAAAAACATTACAAAAACCGACTTTTAACATATAAAATATTAAAGGCAAGGTCAATTACATATTGTTACGGTGACTTGTCCAAATCAAGTCGCTGTAATGTGAAACTGCCCTGTTGTGAATAACTCCTTAAAGAATAATAGAAGTCAGGGGTTGCCACGGAAGTGTGTTGTTACCAACGGACAATCGGAGAGTCGAGATCGGACTGTCGAACGAGAAACATTTCAAATTGAAAGATCTGAATTGTAATTGTATCGAGTTGTGTTATAGTTTAAATATTATAAATAAAATGCCACGACGCGAGAGAAACGGAGTAATTCGCAACAATATGTTTTTCGAAAGAAAATATCACCAAAGTTACGCTAATCGAGCCTACGTTAGACACCGGGAGTAGGAATGGATGGGAGACACGGATGGGAGACATAGTCTCTAGTGATTTTACGTGCAGCACCTGCCCAAAGGCTTATCCACACGGCCCCCATGGGCGCGGAATTGAGATACGCTCAATAAGCGCGCTCCCACATGCCAAGCCATGCAGGAGCTACCAGTTACTACGAGGACGCGGACTCTCGTCAGCAGACAACTGGTGGTGCCGAGCCCTTTCTATGCTCTACCGGCTCAGCAGGTCGGTTCCCGAGCTGAATACCGCAGCTCACCCGTCGAGGCCCCCAACAACTTTAGGGTGGGACATAACGAGGAGGGAGGGAAGAGGTAAGGAAGGGAAGGGAAGGAGCCTCTGGCCAACTTTAGCCGTTTACCACTGCCCCCTCGATGGACCTCCCACTGCCGGCCCGAGGTATCCCGAGCCAGATGGCCGGGACCTCGTGGGCACGTCGACACCCGAGGTACCAGTATTTAGAAGGCGGACTGGTGGACCTGTCGTAGCTACGCTACTACCATGTTTGGAGACACCGCATCTCCAGCACTGGTCGGCTAGCGCTTCGGGATCGTGTAGTCGCTACTCTACAACGCCTAGCACTTAAGGAATCAGCAGAATAGGACCCGGCAAGCCGTATCCTACCCGCCTTTCTGCCTGTGTTCAGCGCCCTGCGCCACGGATGGGAGACAGAAGGAAACGAAGACGGCCGAGAATGAAGTGTTCCATGTTTGAAATTTGCTGGGACGGGAGAAGCGACATCATTTTGAGGACGAGCCTACGCGTGGAGGCTGTAAAGGAACTGTTTTCTGTACATTTTCCATCAACCCTGGAATTTGAAGATGTCGAACATCGAGAAAGAACACGACATTTAACCAATTTAAATATGAATTATTTACAAATTAATTATTTTTACATTATTTGTTACAGCATCAGTAACAACGTCTATTGTCTTTGATTTTGTCAACAGAAATATCTGTCCAAACTATATCGTGTTTGGCCTTATTTTAATCAGAAAACTATCAGCAATATGTTAAAAATAAAGATCAGTGTTAAAATGTTAAAATTAAAAAAAGTTATGTCATTACATTATAAGTTGTCTTCCGGGAATTCGAGTCAAAGGAGCCGCGGCGCGTGCCGCAGCACACGTGTTCAGCAACGCCATCGAACTTTAGCATGGCGAGAAAATCGATAAATTAAAGAGCCGCAAGAAAATCAATAAATTACAGGGCCGTAGCAATATCTCGGCGTCGGGACTGGCATACTCAAGTTACGTCGAGAAGAGAGACATTACTGTACCTCTAATATTCTACAAAAATTTAGATCATCTGGCTTAATCGTAAAAAAATTATTCCGTTTTAAAAGCTGTAGAGATACTTTTGTACACCGACCGTACACTAGTTAACTTAAAATGTTTATATCTCGGAAAGAAGTTACATAAGATACATTTAAGTTGAAAACGTCTTGATACCCGCTACAACAATGTGCAATAAAAAAATACAGGTTTTAATTTAAAAATTCAAAACTGACATCTGTAAGTTTTCCAAGGTTACCACAGGACCAAATAAATGATAGCATAATCTGTCCCACATGTAACATTAAATACATTTGATTAGAAAATAAATTTATTTTCGTCTGTACGCTTTTCTAAGTCACTGAAATTGGTGAGGGGATAGCACTTTGAGAAGTTTACCTGACAGTGGATTTAGGATCTTCAGGGTTTCTCTTTCGAACTTCCTCAGATACGTGCTTAGGAAGGTCAATTTTCCCATCTTGAACTGTGGTGTTCACTACATTTTCGTCTTTATTTATAGAAGTATTTGATGCGTTACCCGTTGCGCAACTCCGGAAATACCTTGCTTTTTTTGGATGCATCATTCTGAAAATGCAATATATAAAAAAACATTAACGATATTTCGTCACTTTAATCTGGAAAATGATTCCTGAAAATAAAAGGCTCGAAAATAAATATCATGTATTAAATTAATAAAATTAAATGTATGATAAACAAAACCATAATGACGAGCAAGGGGAACAATGGAATAAAAAATATTAGAAAAATATTTTTGTATACATACATGCGGTGTCCATTAATAAATGACGTTTGAAATAACAAGTAAATGATGGACGTTATGAAAAAAGAGTCAAATGTATTTTTATGTTTTTTTATGTAGAATGGATTAACACAAGAAAAAAAATGTTCACTAACTTCTTCAAGACCATTTGAAGGTTATTCTTATTCTTTTAAATGGAATGCTCCATTTTTGTTTCGCTACAATAAAAAAACAAAAAAAAACGAATTGAAATACAACTTTGAAAGTGACCACATACTTTGAAATAAGCCTCCAAGTCGTAAAATGTAAAGTTTTAATGCAACAGATGAGAATGTGCTTTTCTATCCTTTTATTTACATCCTTTTCAGAATGTGCTCAAAAATTCATTTTTCGACAGCTAAATATTAGTCTAGTCTTCTCAGGAATGGTTGCTGTTGCTATGAGAAGATCGTTTCTGAGAGGACTACAAAATAATATAATTTCAACTTTTTTATCTGAGTGTGTAACGAAAATTTGAAGAATGCATTTTATAAATCTCGGTAAGTTGTACCAATGCTGAAAATGTCATTGCAATCGGTTGATGTATAGTCAAGATACAACAACTAAAATATGTAAAAATTCTATCATTTTGGTTTATATTCGTGAAATCGAAATTTAAATATTAATAGCTCATGACAACGTCAACTGATTTGAATAAAATTTTCAACAAATTGCCAAAATCTACAAAATGAGAAATATCATTTTTTAATTCTTTTATAAGACTAACCAATTGCAATTTTTGAAAACAATTTGTTTGCCATTGTCTAGGAAACAAATACTTCTAGTATCCCTAAAAAATTTAGATTAGGACATTCTGTTTTAAAAGGTGTACGAATACTTTGTACACCGACTGTAGACTAGTTAACTTAAAAAGTTTACAGAGTTACACAAGTTACATTTAAATTGAAAACGCCTTGATACCCGCTACAACAATATGTAATAACAAATGCAGGTTTTAATTTCAAAATTCAAAGCTGACTTCTGTAAGTTTTCCAAGGTTACCACAAGATCAAATAAATGACAACACAATCTGCCCACATGTAACCATATAACTTCTGTCAGAAACATCTTTTCATACTATCCATATTTTTTGAGATATTTTCCATGGGAAATTAAAATGAGGACACCCTGTACAAAACATTGAATAATAGAAATATACATTAAATTAGAAAATAAATTTATTTTCGTTCGTACGCCTCATTGAAACTTACGAGAGAATAGCACTTTGAGAAATTTACCTTATAGTGGATTCAGGATCTTCAGGCTTTTTCTTTTGAAATTCCTCAGTTACTTTCTCGGGAATTTTAATTTTTCCATCTTCTACTAACATGTGTGTGTTCATTACATTTTCATCTTCATTTATGGAAGTATTGGATGCGTTGTCCGTTGTGGCATTCAGGGAATTTCTTGCTTTTCTTGGAAGCATCATTCTGAAAATGCAGCATATAAAAAAGTGTTAACGATATTTAGTCACTTTTATCTGGTAAATGATTGCAGAAAATAAAAAACTTGAAAATAAATTTCATGTACTAAATTAATGGTATGGATGATGAACAAAACCATAATGAAAAGGAACGATGAAATAAAAACTATCAGGAAAATATTTTTGCATATATGTACAGGGTTTCCATCAATAAGTGCCATTTGAAATAACAGATAAATGATAGACGTTATGAAAAAAGAGTCAAATGTATTTTTTTATGTTTTCTTTACATAAATTTTGTTACTACAAGAAGAAAAGTTTCCACTAACTTTTTCAAGTACATTTTAAAATTATTCTAATTCTTTTAAATGGAATGCTGTAATTTTGTTTCTCTACGATGAAAGAGTAAAACAGACGAATTGAAATGCTACTTACAGGCAGGGGTTGAAAACAGTTTTGATATCAGTTCCAGCTCTTAAAACAATTATGAAGGATCGAAATATCCACATTACTGTTATAAGGTATATTGGTTCTATATTGGTTTCAGTTTTTCAGAAGTGTTATTAAATCAGTTCTATAATTGTCACTTTTCTGTTCTAATTCTATTTCACGTAACAAATACATTGTATTTCCTTTGGAAATAATTAAAAATAAATAATTAGGATTGATATTTTTAATTATTTAAAAGGAATAATTAAAAGTATAGATTCTGAAAATCTTTGTATTATTGACAAATTACGACTCTAAACATGTATCAACGAATGCACTCCATAAAGTATCCGCATTACTTTGAGATGCCTGATACTCTGGGGTTTATTCGTTAACAAAATCTACAGCCTTAAGAGGCAAAATAGCGTCAGGCTATCTGTCTTTAGTTCCTTTCAAAAATAAGTATCAATTGCCATACATAGGAGCCAAGTACAATCTTGTTTCTTTCTTAAATAATTTTAATAAGTTGTAATTAACATATTTACAATTTTATCACTATTCTACGTTTCACCTATATATTTTTCCAATAAATGAATAAAATCGGCAATCTAATTATAAGTGTTACTACATATATAATACACATACACTTATAAGTAATTTAAAATCTATTCAGAAATGTTTGGGGATTGTAGAAGTAAAATGTATATTGCATGTATGTATATTGTATAAACGTAAATTCATAAATTCGAAATATAATCGAAATGCACAGTCGAAATGCATAACGAAAATCCAGAATCAAAATTCAGAACCGAAATCTAGAACCAAAAAATGACACTTATAAAACTGATATAATATCGGTTCTCAAGAACAAAAATCGATATAAGTCAGAACCGATATATATAACACACAAAAGTGTTTGTACACCTTTTAAAACGCAATAACTTTTTCAAAATTCAACTAAATGACTTGAATTTTTTTTAGATGATAGAGGGACTAGTTTACTAGACGATGACTAAAAAGCTTCTCTTTAATTTTGCCATTACTTGGAACGAAAAGAAAAGATTAAAAACCCACGTTTTTAACTTTTTTATCTGAGCTTATAACGAAAATTTAAAAAATGTCTCGTAGATCTCGGTAAATTATATGCATGTTAAAAATTTTATCGAAATTGGTTCACGTTGTTACGAGTTACAACAAATTAGAGATCGCAAAAATCGCAGTTTTATCACGATTTTGACCAAAAACTATAAGAAATCTGCAGTTTTTAAAATATTTCAACGTCTGTTGCTTGACTTTGGGTTAACCGATTTCGATCCAATTTTCAGCACGCATATAAGTTGCCGAAATCTACAAAAGGCATTTTTTTCGAGAAGACTACGTCAATGTTTAGCAATCGAAGAAAGACAAAGTAAATAAAAGATCAGGAAAGACCATCCTTGCCTGCTGTACAAAAAATTTTCTTTGTTATGACTGCGAAAATCACTCCAAAGTGACTTGTAAATAGTGTTTTGAATTAGTTTTTTTACGCTCTTGCATTGTAGCGAAATAAAAATACAGCATTCCATTTAAAAGAATTAAAATAACCTCCAAATAACAAAATTCAATAAACAAAATTTTTCTTGTGTTAACGCATTCTACGTAAAGAACATAAAAAATACATTTGACCAGTTTTTCATAATGTCGAACATTTATCAGTTATTTCAAATGGCATTTATTGATAGACACTCTGTGTATATATATATATATACAAAATTATTTTGGAAGCATTAAAAAAATACTTTTGATGTTCTGTGAGAAAATTATAAAGTTGGGAATTAGGAAAAAAGTATGAAATATTATTAAAATAAACTTATGTTAGTGAGTCTCAGCAGGTTCCGTAATGTGCCTCAAAGGTTCGTAGTCGGACAGACTAGCCGTTGCGCCAAACAACGATTATGATGCGTGCATAAAGGCTTTAATATATGTTGGACACAACACAATTTTCGTTTCGATTTATTCTGAACTTCCTTTCTTACAATACAAAATTGTTTATTTGAACGTAAAAACGTTTAACACTAAATAATATACTTATTGAGTGGATGGTTTTTATTTTTTGCGGCATTTTTCCACCTCTACAATGATCTGATAACAACTGCTAACACTACTTTCGATAATTATCCTTTGATAGAATTAAAATGGCGGGGTTGAAATTTTTTGTTTTCGAGGAATTTGCAATTTTCTGATTTCTTTTTTAATTGATCATTGTTTGTGTTCACAGCTTGCAACCGAAAAATCTGAGAAAATTGTCTGTACGGAGAATTTTCCGACGTAATTTTTCTTACTCTTTCCTGAAGGCGTACGTACGCTAGCGCCTTCCGAGGGGTCTCACTCTGTATACCGTGAGTTAGGTATACAGGTTAAATTTTAGGTATATAAAGGTCACAAACGCGACTAAAAAGCGGGCTTAATTTCAAGTCAGCTACTGACGAAGGAACGTCAGCGAGATTGAGTCTAATTCTCTTTCGAGCATTTCAACTGTGTACGTACATTGTTACAAGTTTGCAAGCCCCCGCCTACCCAGTGCGACAAACTGGGACCGCAATTTAGAATCCGCGATACACTCGCACACACACAATTGTAGTAGACTAAACGCTTGTAATATACTATTCTTTACCAGTCTGTCAAGTTATCAAATTCAATTATCTCATTTCCTGATTTGAAACAATAGTTTTGGTACAAACCTGCAGAGATATACCTTGGCGGTGGTTATTGTGACAATGTTTGGCAGAAAAGAAGAGGGAGACATTTCGTCCGGGGTCCGCTAGAGGACTCATCAATAAGGCTATCCTAATGGGCCCTTGCCTTAGACATTGAGATGACGGTAGGAAGGACGAAGTCTCAATACAAATTGAGGCGGATCGGTTACTTGTGGGAAGAGGAGCCATCTGTTGGCGGGTCTGAAGCTACAAGGCAACCAAACTCTAAATCTCTATCCTATCATACCTAGTGACGCTCCGGTGATGAAATAGACTTTGGCTAGTCCACGACACCTTATCATATCTAGTGATGACCCGATAAGAAAATAGACATCGACAAGTTCACGAAAACCTATTTTATCTAGTAGCGTCTCGCGATAATGAGATAGACATCGGCTAGTCCACGCAATTACCTTACCAAAAACTCCAAGATCGCAACTAACCTCCGGCCACGCAAAGCTACTTCGCCCTCGGCTCGTAACGTCTCTAACGTGCAGCTTGTAATCCAAGATAGGCCAAATTTTTTCAAAATTTTAAGAAGCCACCCTTGGAGTAAGCTACCATGCCACTATTAAATTCTTGTAGAGCTTCGCTCCCCGAACAAGACGCCGAAAACTGAATTCCTCCGTCATCATCAGTTTTCTAAAAAAAAAAAAAACTTTTGTAAAAACCCAGAATTTTCGACAAAAATGAGTATGAAAAGTAAAAATATTAGGAAGTTCTAATCGACCTTTAAAGGTACATGAGAGTTTCCTAAATATAGAGGCATAAAATTTATTAATTGTTTTTGGTCCTATATAGCTATAAATTAATGTCAAAGTTTAAAATATTTTTAAACTCCGCAATATTTTTGTATTTTCACGAAAAGTTCTTTGACCAGTACGAAAACACTATCCTGGATCGGATTATCTAGACATTTCAGAAGAAGAAATGACTCAGTAGAAATGTCGAAATGATTTACATTTCGAGCAGGCCAAGAAAATGTTCCTCGGCAACGTGTGCACGACGTTTTGCCGCCATGTGCTTCGCTGCTCGCTTCTCTCGACTCAGCAAGGCCGAAGCTATGCGTAATCAACACCGATAAAGGAATACAGTGGGGCATTCACTTCGAGTAAATAGTAAACCTTAGTGTTCTGGCGTTTTTCATATACTTCTCTAAATATTAATAACCAAGCTGTGATGTATTTCGCGACGAAAAGTCACACCAGAGTACAGTAAATTCTCCCTAATTTTTCTTCAGCTTGTAAACGAAAATGGACAATTTAGGAAGAGATTAGAGCTTTGGACCTCGGTTTTATATTTGTTGACAATCGGCAACTATAAAAAAAAGAGCCGTGAGACTCGAAGAAACGTATCTCCTCTTTCCAAATTTTTCATTTTTGTTTACAAGCTGAAGGAAAATTAGGAATAATTTACTGTATTTATAGTGGGTAACTAAAGTATTCGAGCACTAATAGAATTTTGACTTCTGCGCCACTTACTTAAATAAATATATATTGAAAAGAAAAAATTCTCTCCGGTATATTAATGCAAAGTATGGAAACATCAAAATACAAAAAACCTTCGATGTAGTATAAAACGTTACCTATAATTAAAATATATAAAATCATTATATTACCTATAATTAAAAAAATATAAAAAAGCATCGAATTTGCACGCCACGTAAATATTCGAACATCTTACAAAATTAGGTTGGAAAGTTGAAAAAATAAATTCTTTAAAATTTGTATTACTACTTTCATACCTCTATTGTTTAACAATATGTTTCAAGAAATTTAACATTTTTTAAATTATTATTTATTTATGATTAATGTCGTTTTATATTAGTATTTTACACGATTTTATGATTTGTTTATAGTATGTATTTTTTTGTTGCACCTTGTATGACCGAATCCATTTTATGGGAATGGACAGTCATATATAAGACACGTGTAAATATATTTTTTTAACTTAATTTTTTAATGCATTTGAAGAAGTTTGTAAAATTAGAATGCATCGTTGGCCTATTTTCCCGCTAATACTGATGTAATATGAGAAAAAATCAACCAAAAATGCATCCCAATTTTACAAATTTCTTTAAATGCATTCCCCTTAATGTATATTTATTTAAATACATGTGCTAGAAGTAAAAATTATTCTAGTGTTTGAAAGTGTTCTGATGTGATTTTTTGGCGCGAAATACATCACAGATTGGTCATTAGTATCCAGAGAAGTATATGAAAAAAACAAAAGACTAAAGTACTACAAAAAAAATTCAGATATTATTCACTCAAAGTGGGTGCCCCATTGGATCCCTCCATCGGTATTGAAAGGTGCGTAGCTTCAACCCTGCAAAGCCAAGAAAAGCGAGCAGAGGAACTCATGACGGAAAAAAGTTGTGACGATGAATATTTTCTCGACCTGCTCGAAGTGTATATCATTCCGACACTTCTATGGGGCCGTTTCTTCTTCAGAAATGTCTACAGAATCCGATCATGGGTAGAATTTTTGTGCTGGACAAAGAACTTTTTATAAAAATACAAAAATATTGCGGAGAAACTACGCACGTCGACACTTTTTTATAAACTTTGACATTAATTTATAGTTATTTAGGACCAAAAATAATTAATAAATTGTATGTCACTATATTCGTTATATATATGTTTTTACTTTTCTTTCAATACCTCATTTTTGTTGAAAATTTAGGGTTTTTACAAAAGTTCGCTTTTTTCGAAAACTGAGGGTGATGGAACAATTTAGTTTCCGTATTCTTGTACGGGGAGTAAAGCTCTACAAGAATTTCATAGTGGCTATAGAAAGTCAGAAATCGTGTCGGACGGTGTAATGGAAACGAACCTAAACAGCAACTTTCTCATTCTTGATTCTTTTTTATGCAACATTTACCATCGGGCCGAAGGCTAAGGCAGCTCGAGAATTGTATGTTTTGAGGATTTTTGATGGTAGTACACTTGGCAGTGTCACCTTCAATTTACCACTTATTGGAAGAAGTACTTTTGACAATATCTCTTTCACCACTCAATCGCCATTATCGGAAGGAGGTAAGTTAAGGTACATTTGGATGGACAAAAATGTACTGAATGAGATGTTAGTACTACCTACTGGAATCTCGAAGGTTATGAATTTGAAATAAACTAAACTCAAATATGGTAAACTAAAGAATACGATATGTTACAAAGATTATAGATTGTTACAATTGCTCCAATGTTAAGTTGCGTCGCAGATTCTAATTTCCACGCTCTCGGTTTTGTCGTATTGACAAATACGGTGGAGATCCAATTGGAATGGCCTAATCTTGATTCTGCATATGACTTCGCATACACACGGGTGTCAACTTCAAGCTGTTGCCCGATGAACAACGAATTCATGGTCTTTTTATACTACAAAATCTAGCTATAATTATTGATAGGGTCATGGCCTACATGCATTCCTAAACAGACTTTCCCAGGCGCACTTCATGTTACACTTCTGTTGGAAAGTTGCATTTTTTGGGCATACAAATTAGGTCATCTAGAGTCAATGCATTCAACGTCAAAATGAAGATCATACAGGAAAACTCTCTGTACGTTGCAACTCGTACTCTACTAAACAGCAAGCTGCGACAAAAGCCAAGCAGGAGTTAGAGCTAGTAATGTATACCATTTATGACGGCGTGATCATTTTCAAAGCAATTATATCTTATATGAAATTTAATGGCCATGCAAATGTATGCTTACATCTTTTTTAATAATCTTCTTTTACTGTATCGTGGTGCTGAAAGGCGAAGAGCACTCGACGGATTCCCCTTTAGATGTCTATTCGAATTACGTTTCCTAGTAGTATGTCCTTCCATATTCGGTGCACTCATTTTGTTGCACTGCATTTCCATACTTCTGAAAATAATAGATAAATAATACAATAGAATAGGAACAATATAAAATAATAAGAAATAAAGCTCAGGCTTTATATACATACCGTTTGACAGAGAAACATTCGTGAGTAAACGCGTTCCAGTTCGCCAATAAATTTACTCGTATAAATGAATTTTTGCTACAACTTTAAGCAGTTCTTATCTTCTCCACCTGATACGAACAATCTACAATTTTTGTAACAATTGTTGAAATCAAATTTTTACAGTGGCAATGCGCTCGTTACGCTCTTGGACTAGAGCTCCATCAGTAAAGCGAAGCTCGTTTGTTCCATTTCATGAACGCAGAGTACTGAAATCGTTAAAGCGCGGAATTAATTCATATAATTGTTATTTCAGCACTATTGACTATATTTTTATGTGAAATATTTTTGTACAAAATTTTATTAATTGGTTAGAAAAATAAAAATATGCCAGGCTGGCGCCAACCAATCGGGGGTGCATTTGTATATCGTGAGTCGAGTACCTCCGAGGGGGTACAACGACGAACGTTCTGGAATCGGACCACGTAGCAACACCCCCACTACCATTTTTCCACCAAACGTCTCCGCCATGTGTTTAGTTTTAAGACGAAAGAATGTTTGGATGAATGGACCGGGTTGCATGCTGTGCGATAGCGTCGAGCGGATGTCTAGACGATTGGTTTGAGTGTCGCGTAGAATGAATGCGTCTAGACAGTTTAGAGTGAAAGCGAACCGTGAGAATGAGAAAGAACGATCTGGATGGGATGCATCAGTGAGCGAATGGGACAGTTCGGTAAGAACCTTCGTTGGGAGCGGTACGCGGGCATCGCGAGTTTGGTACCAACGCGATTGTAAATAAAATTAGTCCGATTGTAACCGGGTTCGAGTTTCTCTTTCCGTCGCCGATCCCACCTCCACATTGTTGACCCCGACGTGATCTAAAGGAAGCGAACGACACGAATTTTGCAGTCGCATTTCGTTCGTTGTTTCGTGGCAATGGATCGGGAGCATTCGGAAGAGAACGCGGATATTTGCACGTTTATTCAGTACGATGGCATCCCCGCCTGTATCGATAGTCAGCCGCGTCGCGGTGAGAATACCAGAATTTTCGCCCACCGACCCCGAGCTGTGATTCGCGGTGGTCGGGACGAGTTTCGAGACGAGCGGCGTTACGACCGAAAAGACGAAGTTCGGGTATGTCCTGGGTGCGCTCGATCCAGAATATGCGGCCGAGGTCCGCGAAATCATTTTGAACCCCCCAGCTGAGCCGTTCACTAAGCTCAAGACAGAGCTGATAAAGCGGATCGGGGCGTCGCAGGAGCAGAAGACTCGGCGTCTCCTCGAGCACGAGGAGATGGGCAACCGAAAACCGTCGCAGTTCTTACGCCACCTGCGGACCTTGGGAGGAACAGCCGTGTCAGAGGAGATATTGCGTACCCTGTGGTTGGGCCGGCTCCCCGCGAGCATGCAGGTCATCCTGGCGACGCAGCGAGACGTCTCGCTCGACCGAGTGGCCGACTTGGCCGACACCATCGCTGACACGATGGGCCCGCGCATGCGGGTAGACGAGGCCTCTGCGGGTCCCGTCGCACGGCCGTCGAGAGATATGTGCGAAGTCGAGGAACAACTGTGCTCGAAGATGGCACAGCTCACGGCGACGTTTCAGCAGGAGCTCGCAGCAATTCGTCGCGAGATAAACTCCGGTCCGCGTTTTTCCCAACGGCGACCATTCACCCCGGGCCGAGCGCGATCGCTATCCCGAGAACGCCGAACCGCGCTACGAGGCGGGAAGTGTTTTTACCATTTTAAATTCGGTGCGAACGCGTTCCGCTGCGAACACCCATGCAATTGGTCCGCGTCGGGAAACGAGATGGGCAGTCGTTAATGACGGCCAGCGACCACTGCCCACCATCGCGCCGTTTGTTCGTCACCGATCGAGTAACAAAAACGCAGTTTTTAATCGACACCGGTACTGATCTCTGCGTTTTTCCACGATCAAAAACTCGCGGGTTCCGCGAACGCGCATCTTACGCTTTGTACGCGGCGAACGGGTCGGAAATTGCCACGTACGGGACGGTTACGCTGAGCCTCGATTTCGGGCTCCGTCGTGCGTTCGTATGGCGTTTCGTGGTGGCCGACGTGTCAAAGCCGATTATAGGCGTGGATTTCCTCGCGCATTACGAACTATTGGTGGACGTCGGAAAGTGCAAACTTTTAGACCAGGTGACGTCGATGACGGTGCCAGGACGCTCAGTGCGCGAGTGCGGGCCATCGGCGCCCTCGGTGAAGACAATTTTCGGTGATTCGAAATTCCACGAATTGCTGCAACGTTTCCCGAACATTACGCGACCAGTGGGGACACCCGTGCAAGTGCAACATGAAACGGTGCACTATATCCGCACAACGCCGGGTCCGCCTGTGGCTTGTAGGCCCCGGCGTCTCGCGCCGGATCGTTTGAGGCACGCGCGACAAGAATTCGAGACGATGATGCGTCTCGGCATCGCGCGACCGTCGGAAAGTGCGTGGTCATCGCCTCTCCATATGGTGCCCAAAAAAGAACAGGACGCTTGGCGACCGTGCGGGGATTACCGAGCTTTAAATGCGCGCACGGTGCCGGATAGGTACCCCGTGAAGCACATCGAGGACTTCTCTCACGCGCTTCACGGGAAGACGGTGTTTTCCACAATAGATCTGGCGCGCGCGTATAACCAGATTCCAGTGGCCACAGAGGACATCGCCAAAACCGCGATAACTACCCCTTTCGGACTATTCGAGTTCCCCTGTATGTCGTTCGGATTGCGAAACGCGGCACAAACGTTTCAACGTTTCATCGACGAGGTGCTGCGCGGCCTGGATTTTGTGTACGCGTACATCGACGACATACTGGTGGCATCGTCGACGGAAGAGGAGCACTTGCGCCACTTGGAGGAAGTTTTTTCACGCCTCGACAAGTACGGCGTGACCGTCAACGGGGCGAAATGCATTTTCGGCCAGGCGCAGGTTAAATTCCTGGGGTTCACCGTATCGTCCAAAGGCACCAGCCCGTTGGAATCAAAGGTGGAGGCGATCACCAACTACCCCCAACCGACCACCGCAAAACGGCTGAGGCAGTTCCTGGGTATGCTAAATTTCTATAGGCGTTTCATGCCCAGGGCTGCGCAGGTACAAGCGCCCCTCAATAACCTACTGCACGACGGCATCAAGGGTAACGCCAAGTTGGCGTGGACCGAGGAAGCTACCGCGGCTTTCGCCGAGGCGAAGGACAGTTTGAGGCAGGCGGCGTTATTGTCGCATCCGAGGGACGACGCGCCACTCGCCTTGTTCTGCGACGCGTCCGATTTTGCTGCAGGGGCGGCACTGCAGCAGCGGGTCGGAAAGGATTGGCAGCCGGTGGCTTTCTTCTCCAGGAAGCTCAGCGCTGCCGAGCGGAATTACGGCGCGTACGACCAGGAAATGTTGGCCATTTACTCGGCAATCAAGCATTTCCAACAAATGGTGGAGGGGCGAACTTTCACAGTCTACACGGACCATAAACCGCTGACTTTCGCTTTCCAACAAAAACCCAAGAAATGTTCTCCCAGGCAATTTAGATACCTGGATTTCATCGGGCAGTTCACCACCGACATCCGCCACATCGCCGGGAAGGACAACGTTGTCGCCGACGCGCTATCCAGGTTGGAAGAAGTGGTAGAGTCTTTCAGCTACACCGATTTGGCGGAGTCTCAGCAGCGCGACGCGGAACTTCAGGCGTACATGAGCGGGAAAATAAAAAACAATTTACGTCTAAAACGGATACGCCCGCCCGATTCGAACACTGAAGTGATCTGTGACGTGTCTACCGGGATTGCGCGACCTTTCGTCACGGGACAATTCAGGCGAGCCGCATTCGACTCGATGCACCGCCTGGCGCATCCAGGTGTTAAAGCAACGGTGAGACTCGTGACGGAACGATATGTGTGGCCGTCCGTTAAAGCCGATTGCCGGAGTTGGGCTCGCGGTTGCGTTCCTTGCCAGCGCGCCAAAATAAATAAGCACGTTTTCGCGCCGCCGGGAAGTTTCGACGCGCCGACCGGAAGATTCGAGCACGTGCACATAGACATTGTAGTTCTTCCGGTCTCAGAGGGGTTCAGGTACTGTTTAACCTGCGTCGACCGTTTTACGCGCTGGCCCGAGGCTTTCCCAATTCGGGATCAAGAAGCTTCGACCGTGGCACGCGCCTTTTACGAGGGTTGGATTTCACGGTTCGGAACCCCGTTGCGCGTGACGACCGACCAGGGTCGACAATTCGAGTCGCGCTTGTTTCAGGCATTGTCGCAGCTAACAGGTGCAGCCCACTGGCGGACAACGGCCTATCACCCGGCGGCAAACGGAATGGTGGAGAGATTCCACCGCCAATTTAAGGCAGCAATCCGTTGCCAGCAAAATGTCCGCTGGACAGAGGTTCTTCCCACCATCTTGCTGGGCATCCGCGCAGCCTGGAGGGAAGACTTACAATCTACCGCAGCTGAGCTGGTCTACGGCGAGACACTGCGCCTACCAGGGGAATTCCTGGTCCCACAAAGAGCGGAGTCGCTGCCGCTGCCAGGGGACTTTGTCGCAGGATTACGAGAGCATTTCGCGACCCTCGCCCCAACGCCTGGCAGCAATCATTCGACGAAACGAGTTTTCGTTTTTAAGGACCTCGCCACGGCAGAGCATGTTTTCGTGCGGAACGACGCCGTGCGAGAAATCCTCCAGCCGCCATACGACGGTCCGTACAGGGTCCTCGACCGAGGGGACCGGACTTACTCCCTCAGTATCCGGGACAAGACGGTTACAGTTACCAAAGACCGCCTAAAGCCGGCGTACTTGCTGGCTACAGATCCAGCACCGCTGACGATACCAGGGGCAACACAGCCAGCGTTACCTGGACAGTCCGAGGGACCACCACCACCACCACCACCACCCACTCCGAGCGAGTTTACGGAGCAGCCATCGCCACCATCTNCCAGCACCGCTGACGATACCAGGGGCAACACAGCCAGCGTTACCTGGACAGTCCGAGGGACCACCACCACCACCACCACCACCCACTCCGAGCGAGTTTACGGAGCAGCCATCGCCACCATCTCGGGGTCTGGCGGTGCCGCCCCCCATATTAGTACCACCAGGCGCGGGTTTACGTACCACACGGTCCGGAAGAAGAGTGCGTTTCCCGGACCGATTGCAAGTTTCGTGATCGAATCAATCACTGGCGGGGGGGGGGGGGGGGTGATGTGGCGGCGACAAGTCGGCGCCACGTCTCCGCCATGTGTTTAGTTTTAAGACGAAAGAATGTTTGAACGAATGGACCGGGCTGCATGGTGTGCGATAGCGTCGAGCGGATGTCTAGACGATTGGTTTGAGTGTCGCGTAGAATGAATGCGTCTAGGCAGTTTAGAGTGAAAGCGAACCGTGAGAATGAGAAAGAACGATCTGGATGGGATGCATGAGTGAGCGAATGGGACAGTTCGGTAAGAATCTTCGTTGGGAACAGTGCGCGGGCATCGCGAGTCTTGTACCAACGTGATTGTAAATAAAGCTAGTCCGATTGTAATCGGGTTCGATTTTCTCTTTCCGTCGCCGATCCCTTGTTAGAGCAAAAACCCGTCAGCCTATGATTATTACAGACACACCTTTGGAACCGTTCGACAAACTCGCCATGGATACAGTTGGACCACTCTCAGAAACGATCGGTGGAAACCGATACATTTTAACCATGCAAGACAACCTAACCAAATACTGCCTAGCCGTCGCTATACCCGATATTAAAGCAACGACAATAGCAGACGTATTCGCGAGACACTTTATCGCAATATTCGGAACACCAAAATCCATTCTAACAGACAAAGGCACCAGTTTCGTGGGAAAATTAATGCAACATCTTGCGGAGATTTTTAGAATCCAACAAATAACCACCTCTGGCTACAGGCCACAAACAAATGGATCGTTGGAAAGAAGCCATATAGTATTAACAGAGTATTTGAAACACTACATCGAGTCGTATGAAGAATGGGATCTCTACCTGCCATTCGCCATGATCTCTTACAACACCTCCGTCCACGAAGCTACAAATTTCACACCGCACGAACTAATCTTCGGAAAAACCGCGAGATGACAAAAATCCGCAATCTAGCTGCTAACAACCTAAACTGTGCAAAATCCCGTTATAAGCGATATTACGACAAACGAGCAAATCCGAAACAATTCATGGTAGGGCAATACGTCTACGTATTGAAGGAACCAAGGACGAGTGAATTCGGCCCACGGTACACCGGGCCATACGAAATAGTCGACGTATCAGATGTTGCGTTCAGAGACAAGGGCCATAAAAAGGTCCCACCATTGGGGAAACCCTCTCAGGCCCCAACAAGGGTCAAGGCAGACACCCCCCTCCAAGGGGTGATTCGTGCCTTGACCAATAATAAACAATCTACCTCCATCCACGGGTGCTCTTCCACGACTTTCCAGCGTTGGAAGAGCATTCTTCCACCAGCGCTCGCAGAGAGTACAACACAAAAAATAAAGTTCTCTAAGACTACTAGAGACCCTTCCACGTCATTAATTTGCCGTAGGAAGCGCGAATCGAGCGTACAATAGTTCGGTCGCGCATGTACGTTAGGCGACTAACCGAACGTACGGACAAAACATTGGTCCTTCGAGCCGGATGCGGTCGCAGTGAACGTTTCCAACAATTAAATACAAAGGTTATCCTTGTAAGAGGAAATTGACAACGAGTGGAAGAATCCGATCCTGTCCATAAGTGGTTGGATCGCAACAACAAATCCAGGAGGTACTTGGAACAAGAATACAACAACCGTCGAGCGTTCGAGTGCTTGAACCGGAACAACAATCTAACAACATTGGACTACACGNATCGTACTCCTGTAATTCGAACGCTATCCTCGATAAATGGAAGCCGCCAAATATGGAATGCCACTTTGATTTTCAAATGCCATTCTTACAAGTCAATTGCAACAGTTAAAAGATTTTTATCGACATACATTGTCACTCATATATTTTCGCATCAGTTTAGAACAATTTTAAGTTTCTGACATAATAAACAATTGTTAATAGGTCGCCGTGGTGGTTTTAGTGGGTCAAATCCCGCACTACCCGCGTCCCGCTCCCTCGGGCGGTGCGGGGGTGTCTGGTAAGCACATTTCATCCACGTTAAATGAAAAAAAAGGGTTTAAGCTCGTCGGTTACGACTGCGATACATGATGGTTCTGGGTCGGGGAGTTGACTGCCATCACAGAGGACTGGCGACATCTTCGGACAAAAGGTAGTTTGACTAGACACCGTGGTGTCGTGCTGTGATAGCAGCCGTGAAATTCAGCGTATCAAGTCAGTGCCGCATTCAATTTTCAAATTTTCGTATCAAAGACACACTCTCATTAGAGATTCTTATTTCCTATATATTTTAAATGCATTTGTAGTTTTTCTCGTGTATTTAGTTACACGTATACCACGTATACTATACATATTAGGAGGGCGCGTGCGCCCACGCCGGGAACACCCGGGCAGCTGAGATTAGGCGGGCGACGGGTGTAACAGACCATACTGGTTTCATTGCCCGCCGTCCGCCAACAAAGGACGTCTTCCCCTGTTGGAAGTGGGGGTGACGACTTGCCTACATGGGGTAACTCATCATCCCCCCGGCAGCCGCTGTACTCTGGGCGGGGACCCTGGACATTTCATCGCTCGGTCGGCTTGAATGTGTGAGGTTTTATCTCCCCCCGGGACGCGGTCGGCCAGCACCCTTCACTATCTTGGCGACCGGCCAGACGAGGGGGAGTCGCGGTAGTGTTCTACAAGAGTTCCCGTTGCTCCCCCGTTGAGTCGCCAGCGTTTGGATCAGCGTCCGTAGGTCGCCGTGGTGGTTTTAGTGGGTCAAACCACACACTATCCGTGTCTTGCTCCGCCGGGCGGGGGGATTTCTTCCACGTTAATTAAAAAAAAATGGGTTAGGATACCTTTAATAGATAATTTTTTCTTAATATTTCAAAAACTAAAAGTAACCCGAAGTTGAAATTGTTCCGGCCGAATCGCAGACCGCGGGTCAACGCACGTTCGACATTCGATGTACGCCGTCTCGCCGTTTTTGTCGAATAAACGGCGAGGCGGCAAGACAATAACACGATCGACGTGCGTTGGCCCGACCGTCAAGCGCTCGCCTCGGCCGTTGTAAACACGCGGCGTTTTGCCTTAGGAGGCAATGACCCGGCCTTCGACGCCTGACGATGCTTCTCCTTGAACATCGGCCAGGTGTCTATATATACTGCCGCAAATTTGATAACGGGGGATTTTTGTAGATACTTAAAGCATATGTCCCCCATCGCAAATGATACAAATCGCGAAGGTCTCTACCTCCCACATCACGCGGTACTAAAGGCGACCAGCACAACCACAAAATTGAGAGTAGTGTTTGACGCCTCAGCTAAAACCAAGAGCGGCATATCTCTAAACGATATTCTGCTGGTCGGCCCAACAATTCAGGATGACCTTTTCCAGCTAGTTATACGATTCAGACTACACAACTACGTGTTAACAGCAGACATTGAGAAAATGTTCAGGCAAATTAACATGCACCCTGAGGATAGAAAATTTCAAAAAATTCTTTGGCGATACAATAACAATGAGCCCATAAAAACGTATAACCTAAACACCGTTACTTACGGCACGGCATCGGCATCATTTCTAGCGGTCCGTACCCTAAAACAATTAGCAAGGGACGAAGGGACTTCCCTCTCGCAGCTGCAGCTTTAGAAAACGATTTTTACGTTGACGACTTGCTGACAGGGGCTCCTACAATGTCACAAGCCACTAGACTTCGAGACGAACTCATACAGTTATTGAAGTTAGGCGGGTTCAACTTAAGACAATGGGCATCGAATGAACAGACGTTGGTTCGCGAACATAGTGATAAAGCTGCAACGGACGCGATTTATTTGAACGTTTCTGAAACTAAGAAGACACTAGGTATTTGTTGGAACGCGAAGTTAGATTGCATAGAATATTACGTAGAAAGGGATACAAAAATTCAACGTGTAACAAAGCGCGAAATACTATCAAAAATTGCAAGGCTGTTTGACCCGCTAGGATTATTGGCACCTATCCTTATTACCGCGAAAATCCTAATGCAGGAATTGTGGAAGGCACAATTAGACTGGGACGAATCAGTCCCACAATCCATTCACACAGTCTGGGCTAACTACATGGAACAATTAAATAAATTTCAATAAATTGTCAAATGTCAATAAATTTCAAATTCCTCGGAAGGTTCTAGTTGAGAGTACAGCTCATGTTCAAGTGCATGGCTTTGCTGATGCGAGTGAAAGGGCCTATGGGGCGTGCCTTTACGTTAGATCCACGGATAAAAACGGAAAGGTATCAGTACATCTCATAGGCGCTAAATCGCGCGTGGCACCCTTAAAATCCATCTCGCTACCCAGACTAGAGCTCTGTGCTGCAGTACTATTAGCTAAATTATATACTACAATCACAAGTACTTGGAAACTAAAATGTAATGAATCAAAATTTTGGTCTGATTCCACAATCACACTGCACTGGATTAATTCGTCTCCGCATACGCTCAAAACCTTCGTGGCCAATAGAATGTCTGAGATACAAACACTCACAAGCACGCGAGATTGGTCACATGTGCCATCTGCACAAAATCCAGCAGATTACATTTCTCGCGGTCAGTCACCCAAAGATTTCGTTGAGAATCGGGTTTGGTTAAATGGTCCTGAATGGTTAAGTCGGAAGGAAGACACCTGGCCCAAAACACCACTAACACAAATAGATATTCCTGAACGTCGTAACAAGATTTCACTATTTACGGTCACAAACTTGGATCCATCAGATATATTCAATAGAATTTCGTCATTCTCTAAACTACAAAGAGTAATAGCGTACTGCATGAGATTCAAAAATCTCAACAGCAAGAAGAACTCACAAAGGGGGGGACTCGGTGTCGCAGAATTAAGATCAGCCCACGACGCTATTATTAAACGGGTACAAGCGCAAGCCTTTCCCAGAGAATCATCGCAATTAGGAAACTATGAAACCCTTGATAAGACAAGCAAATTGTTAGCATTAAATCCTTTCCTTGATGAAAATGGAATTATTCGTGTTGGTGGTCGATTACGAAATGCGACTATCAAATACTCACAGAAACACCCTATTCTATTGCCGAAAGGGCACCCAGTAACCGCGTTAATTATCTCGCGTGAGCACCTTCAGAACATGCATGCTGGGGTACAAGCCACTCTCAACGCGGTTAGAGCCAAGTACTGGCCAATCGACGGAAAAAATGCAACGCGGTTTATTGTCCGGAAATGCATAAGCTGCTTTAAGGCAAGACCGTCAGGACCGCCGGACTACCTGATGGGCGACCTTCCGCGTGAAAGACTAATAGCTAGCCGGCCCTTCGAAAGCGTAGGCATCGACTATTGCGGACCGTTATTCATTAAAGAAAAACGTTACCGTAACCAGAAACGACTCAAGGTTTATACAGCGGTATTTGTGTGCTTTTCTACAAAGGCAATTCACTTGGAGCTGGTAAATGACCTCACTACAGAGGCATTTATCGCTTGCTTAAAAAGGTTTATTTCTCGACGAGGAAGGCCAAAAAATATTTACACGGACAATGGCGCAAATTTTGTAGGTGCAAAAAACGAGCTGAAAGAACTATTCCACGTACTACAATCAAAGGAACACGACGAACAAGTCACGCATTATCTAGCAGAGCAGTCAATAGACTGGTTTCTGTCACCTCCTTACTCACCACACTTCGGTGGTTTATGGGAGGCGGCAGTAAAATCTTTCAAACACCACCTGATCAGAACAGTCGGAGACACACTACTAACCTACGAGCAGCTCAACACTTACGTGATTGAAATTGAAGGCATATTAAACTCTCGTCCTTTAACACCCCTATCACCAGACCCAAATGACCTGCAAGTCCTAACACCAGGCCACTTCCTAATCGGTGAGCCCATAACCTCGCTACCTGAACAAAATTATACTGACATACAGTCAAATAGATTGTCATTGTGGCAGCACGTCCAGAAGATAAAACAACACTTCTGGAGGCGATGGCACAAAGAATACATAAACGAAATTAACATGCGCAGCAAATGGAAGAAGGGCATTTCCAAAACAATCGAAGTAAACAACTTAGTTTTAATCCGAGACGATACGCTACCGTCCATGCGTTGGCCCTTAGGCCGCGTATTAGAAACACACCCTGGAAAGGATGGGATCGTTCGCGTAGCAACGATCAAAACACTTAACGGGACCTACAAAAGATGCGTTAAAAAGCTATGCCCTCTACCCATCGAAGCGCCATAAAACAAACGTTTTTCTGCCTCCTCCTCCTTTCCTTTTAAGATTATAAATATGTATATAGCAAAAATCAGAATTTCGACTTGTAAATACTAGATAATAATATTTAAATCAATTATACTAGTATTAAGAGCGATTGCGGTTACCAGATGCAAAAGATACGCGTCATTATTTATTGCGTCATCTACTATTGTTTTTATCTTACACACACATAGTTTAGGACGTTTGGAGTAACAACTAGCTGTCGATTCAAGCGAACCTAACCCCGTGTACAATTTACAATACCCGTGGGTGGATGGAT